TTTTCTTATCGGTTTGATTACCAAACCGATACCAATCCTACTTTGAACTACGTTTTGTGTTCTTAAAGCAAAATCATTAAACAAAAAGGCATACTCCCTATTTACCCAAAAACAAATGATCAAAATAAATTTGAACAACAAGTACCTGCAAAATTAGCATCAACCACATTATCCACACTCTTAATTTGCAACTTCAGCCTCGTCCTACAGTCCGGACGTGTCGCGTAATAATCCGAGATGGCCATTTTCATGCACGAAGCCACCATGGAACCCAAGGGCGAGCCCAAGTCAATAACGACGCCAACCGGAACCACTAAGTATGGCGGCCCTTGACCGGAAGTTCCATTAACATTAGCATCAGTAGCCAAAGAAGAAGAAGAAGAAGAAGAAATACCGATGGAAAAGAAAGTTAGTGTAAAAATTGCAAGAAAACGGGAGCAAAGGCCCATATTGTTTAGCATTGGAGACCTTTATTGGCTTGTTATGATACTCAAAATTTGTTGTTTGGTACATTACATGGGCTAGGGATTTTATATATAAGTAGACCGTTGACGGGAAATGCAATTTTTTGGTACACAATTGTTTGAGAAAATTGCAATTTAGTCCAATAACTTAAACTTATTAGTGAACTAAAATTGCAAATAATAATAATAATAATAACAATAATAATAATAATAATAATAATAATAATAATGGATTCGTAAAAAAAATAAAAAAATAATGGATAAAAATGAAAAACAACTAAAACTTATTAGTGAGCTAATTAAAATTGCAGTTTTTTCTCTCGTTTCTACGTAACAGGTCGTATGTTTTAAAACTTATTAGTGAGCTAATTAAAATAATGGATAAATAGTTGCTATATATGAGATACTTGGTGGAAAATGGCAAGGGACCATCTAAAATATGTCTACTACGATAATGATCAGTATTAGTCTATTATTAACATCAAGAAATAGATTTTTTTTTTTTTTTTAAGAATCGATAAAAAATACATTTTGTTTTTATTCACTAACTTTGGGTTTATTTTTTTTTTGGTATGCAATTTGGTTCATTAACTTTTATTTCATCCCAATATTGTCATAAAATGCAATTGGAATCTTACACTGAAATTTTCGTTAATTACGTACTTGTACAAAATTTGAAATACATTGGGAGGTTTTAAGACTTATAAATCATGGTGTATTCAATTTAGATTCGTTAAGACTTTTTAAAACTTTTAAAAATTTCGGGGTATTCAATTGGGGTTTTCAAAAGTCTTACAAAATCATGAGTTATTTAATTTATTTGGCACTAAAATTTATTAAGAATTTTTAAGATTTGATGGGATTTCTAAACTAAAAAACATTATACGAAATCCAACTTCAAATCTTACATCTATAGTTAAGATTTCATAGAATTCTCGTCAAATCTAAAAATCCTAAACAAGTTTGATTCTTAAAAAATTGTAAAATGTCACCTAAATTCTCGATTGAATACGTCCCTACACTGCAGACACATATATATTTATTTTACTAGGTGAATAAAAATTTAAGCTTTTAGCTCTAGGTTTCATTTTTCACATACATTTATGGCCACGTATGAATAAGATTCTAGGAATCTTTAAACTTGATTCACTATTTTTTACTATTAAAATCTCAGTTAGGTAAGTTGCAAGAAAAGGTATTTGCAAGTTATGAAGAAAAATTATAATCAATTAAATTGCCAAATTTGTGTTTCCCACAAAACATATTTTTTATTGCAAATTAAACATAGATATAAAAAAGAAAATTTGATTAATATATAGGTCAAACTAACTCATCAATTTAATTTTGTTTGACAACCAACATAAATCTTTTCACCATATAAAAATATTGCAAAAAAATCGAACTCGAGCTCGACTCGTTAGCTGATCAAGCTTAGAAATAAGCTTGAGTTTGACCCGTTTAACAGAATTAACGAATTAATTTGAGCATTAACCAACTTAATTTAGTCTTACAACAGAAAATTTCATAAAAATTTATGTTTCTCAAGCCTAACCAGCCTGGTTTGATAACTAATTAAGGTTGTTGTTAAACAAGTTGAGTTGAACCAGAGTTTTAATGAGCTCAGTCGAGCCGGTGAGCCCATGAGAGGCTCAAATAGTTTAATAGCTCTATTCACGTGCTCCCTACTAAGCTTCTCATAGATAAAGGATGATGGAAGCTTGGTGTCGAGGCTATCCTCAACTCTTATCTCTATTCTCTACTATATTGTAAAGTAAATAAATAATAAAAAAAAAGTCCCCACCCATATGCGCTACATTTTATTCCACACAGGGGCAGAGCCCCATGTTTTTTTTTTTTCTGAAACGATAGAAATATTATATATCAAAACGTACAAATGTGCAAAGACATCCCACAGCTGAGAGATACAACCATCGACTGAAAAAGTGAAAAGACAGGTCCGAGACCGCCTAGATCCTCCGCTAGCCAAGCTAGAAAACAAAGCAAGACTCAAACACAAACAAAAAACAACACAAACAACGAAACACTAAACACAAAGCTCCCCACAGGAGAATATGGAACGCTCCCCAACGAGAGAAAACCCGACACAATCGGGTTCACACAAAACAGGGGCCAACGACCCAAACCAAAAATACTGACAGAGCACAACGCAGACCAAATGGTCCATACAAAACACCAACTAAGCCAACACAAGCACAAAACATAAAAAACTAAACAAACAACAACAGGCCCTTCCCCAGCAAACAATCAGGGGAAGACAAACATCGAGTCCCGTATCAATCCCCGAACTGACCCATCACCGACCGAGAGGAAGACAAACCGCCCCCACACCAGCCCCGGTTCTAACCCGTCTAACACCACTAGACAAGCACGAAGGAACCGGGACCCCCGTCGCCTAACACCACTAGCCGAAAGGGAAAGGGTGAGAATGGCTCGGTTCCTCAACCCCGGCCGCCGCAACCAGAACTGCCACAACGTCCAAGGTCCCGCCCAAACCCCCAACTCACACGCCATCCAACGCCACTGCAAACCACCAACGACCACAGCCCGAATCCACCGTAAGCCCCGCCAGGAACAACAAGACCGACCCGGGGAACCACCAACAACCAGCAAGCTGAGGAAGAACGGAAGCCACATACCTCCAATTGAAGCCAGCCAGCGACCGAGGAGAGACCAACCGCCTCAGACCGGAGGAGCGCCACCACCCAACACAAACTCGCCGGAGACGATGGGGAGGCCATCAATCGCGACACCTGCAGGGACCCCGGAGAACGTGAATCAAAGGCATGGTCGAGCAGTCAGAGATGACCACTGACCGATGACTAATCATCACCGAGGAAGGCTAACACCGGGAAAACGAGGCAGAGCCCCATAAAAAAAAAAAAAACACACAATTATTAGATTTACCATTCAAAATATTATATACTTAGCCATATCTAATTTTTTACTTAGCCCTATCTAATTTTAGGTTGTGCAAGCTCAAATGAAGTTTATAAACAAATAAAGGAGCACGATTTCGAGCTGCTCCTGCTCATCAATGCGGAGGTTTCAAGTGTGAAGTGACATTTATACCGTCACTTAAATAAATAGCTTCTTGGGACATTCCATATTTCTAATGCCTTTTTAATTTTTATTTGTTATTGGGCTGGTACATTGAAAATAGTTTGTCCCACTAGATGAAATAAAATGGGCTACCATGTAGTTATTTTGTGGGTCCTCTTCCAACGCATTGGATTAAACATTCGTTGACCGTCTCATTTATGATTTCGATCTCATCCCTTCTATATATAATTTCAGAATGTGTTGAACCCATCTGAAAGACTTGCACGTTTCGGGATCCTATATGACAAATTTTAAGCCTTGTTGTTTGGCTTGGATGAATTTTAATTTATTTTCAATTCGAAAATTAACTAGACTTGGAAATTCATAAATATATATATATTTATGGTCCCTTTTAAAAGCATTAATTATGTTTTAAAATTATTCCTATTGTGGACTTGATTTATAATATATAGTTTTTTTCCAATCTTTCTTTTAAAATTATAACGAAATAACAAACTTAAGTTATAAATATATTTAAAAGTTAATAAATTTATTAATTATTTAACAAAATTTTATATATAATATATCAAATTAATTATGTCTTGATGAGTTTCGATTTGACCTCTATATTATACATACAAAATAAATAAATAAATGTCGACCTAGCAAGTTAAATAGACGACTTAACTCAAGTCTTTTGTCCAAATTAAGAGTTAGGAACATCAGCTTCAATGCATTTAATTGATGTCGATCGGAATCCGTAATTCTACGACGGAGACAAGTTGGTTCCCTTCATGCAAGGGCATTGTGTTTAAACTACACATTAAACAAATGATTTTTTTCTTTTTTCTTTTTTAAATCTTCGAAAGAAAAATAAAGAATGAAGAAAATTCAATATGATGTACCATAAGAAACTATCATCTGTGTTCATTTCTCATCTATCTATTAATATATAAAGTGACGATGATATTTACTTGAAATGGTAACTAAAAATCTATAAAAAAAATATTTACTTTCCTGCCTAAAAATTCAGATTTACTAAATTGTGTAATTTTTTTAGCCAAAATTTGAAAAATCGCGACTAAATTAATGTAATTAATGTACATAATTGTTTTAGTCAAATATTACGACTATTAACTTTATTAGTTGCATAGTTTAAATTTAGAATATAATATATTGACAAAACTTACGGCCATTACCTTTATTAGTTGCATAGTTTAAATTTGGTATATATTATACTGAAAAATAAAAGTAAAAATATTTCTATTTAAATTAAAATCAAGAAAAAAAATTATTCATAACTTACGGGTCAATACTGACTTGGATGTAAACGAAAGGTCAATTATTATAATTTAATAATTTTAATAATTTACGGGTCAATATTAACTTGGACGTAAACGAAATAGTCAATTATTTATAATTTAATAAATTACTCAACTACTTAATTAATTTTTTTGATTTGCATAAAGTTTATACGAAAATAAATTTATTTTAAGTAATGAAACAATACAAATTTTATGTTTATACTTATTATTCACATAGGTTGTTAAAAATATGATAAAATTTTACCAAAATAACTATTTTATGAAACCACGTTATAGTCAAATCGAATTTTTGAACAAAATTTTGAAATGACACTTATTTTTAAACAAATATAATGTGATTTATTATCACTGCACGGGTTGTGCACTAATTTTAAATAGATATTTTTATGTAATTTTTCTATTTAAACTTTATATAATATTTTCAATAAATTAATTAAAATTGGTAAATTATATTACATATTATTCATTTTTTTAATTTGTAAATATTATTTAATAAATTTTAAATTATAAATATCAATGAATATCTCTTACCCGCCCACTGCACGTAACTCATTACTGGTTTTCACATAAATTAAGAAGATAAAAAGAGGACAAAAATTCCCTTTCAGTTTTTTTTTTTTTTTTTTTTT